AGAGCCTTTTGTAGCTATGGGGGATTTGAAAGGAACCCATTTCTACTCATCAGAAAGCTGTTACGACGAACTACTTGAACATATAAACTCTGCAAGAAGTCATGGGTTCGATTTTTGCAGTTTTGATTCTTTCTTGCGTTATTTTTATTTTTTTTTTTTTCATCCAGGAAACTGTCTATTAGGCGAATTTATTCCGCAGCCGGGTTACTTTTATTAAGAAGCTTCAGGAACAAGTTTTGTGATTACTTCAGCTTGATTAAAGGCAGCGAGTCGATCTCCAGGTTACGTATCCTTTTTTGCGCTTCCTTTTGTTTGTTTGCATCCCTGAAAAGTTTTCATCCATTCTAAACGTTTATTCTGGAACTGATACATACATATTAGAAAGGTCTGAGAGCAAACTGTTTGACTGTTATAGTTTCATTAAGAAGCCTTGAGTCATTCTTTTAAGTTACTTGTCTATTTTTGCCTGGTTGCTATTTTTGTAGGAGCGTGCTGGAAGAAGTTTGTGATATTGTAGCGCGTAGTGCAAATAATGGGGAAAACTTCTGAACGCTTCTACAGAAAAAGGAATCGACAGAAAGAACATATTTAGCTTAAAAAATTGGACCTCGACCCGCAATCAAGCTAAAAAAGTTGAATAGTTTGTTCTCAGAACAGAACTGATGAGCTTAGGCCACTTCCGGAATATATTTCTTGGCTAAGCGAAAAACCTTCCAGAAAAGCCAAAGAAAGAAAACGAAGAAGCACGATGAAAGAAGACATAATTTAAAACATATAACTTAAAAGGTTGATCCATGACTCGTTTTATGACTACAGTGGTTGATTAGCTAGTTCTTAGAGCTTTCTAGTATTTGTGTGTTTCAGTTTTCGAATGAATTTTTCTTAGCTGCGGAAAAGTTTCTGAAATTGCAAAAAAAAAAACACGAAGCAGTGCAAGAAAAAAAGCATATCTTGAGAATTTGGTCTACGCCGCCTTAATTAACAGGTTTACGTAGGTTGTTTTTTGATGTTCTAATGAATGTGGGCTGGTTCTTTAACGAACCCTCATAATGGATGGAAAAGCTTCTGGCATTGCAACAGGTTTGTACAGGAAACGCGGACTATTTTAAAGGAGTAATACGTAATTCGGAAAACCGACAGTTTATTCTCAATCCAGTAAACTTAGTTTAGTTGCTAGTTCTTAGAACTTTCTAGTAACTACACAGTTTTTCTGGGACGTGCACCTTGAATGAACACAAACCGATCAAGAATCAAACGCTCATCAAGATTTGTTTCGAGGGTTGGGATTCTTTCAACAAATGGGTATTTTGTTTTGGCGGGATCTCCAGCGATGGGCCAAATTAAGTGGCTTATATTTGTCTAGTAACAAAGTTATATTTTCGAGGAGGTGAAGAGAGCAGTTGAAGACACAACTTCCAAGCCGGAAACTGAGAATCGTGTTTTGCCTGTTGTAGAAAGGTTCTTTCCAGAAATCCTCGAAGGGGTATAACCTTTGGTGACATTTTTCTTATTTTATACGCTTCTCCCTTTGTTGGTGTTGGTAGTAGGGAATCTCCTACTTTCAGACCTTTGAAGTGGAACTGTCTAGCACTTCAGCATCTGTGGAGAGTGAACAAGAAAACCCGAAAAAAATTTCTGATTCAGACAACATTTCGAATGTTGTTGGAGATGTTAATGTGAGTGGGTTTTATTTTTTTCAATTTCTCCATCAGTGAGCTTTTCTGCTGAACGTTCGCTCTCGTGTTGAGAGTTTATTCTCATGCCTTTGGTGAATTTTTTTCTGAATTGGGTTGTTTTTTCAGTTTGTTGGGATCCCGGCAGATCTTGTCGCTTCTTGGAACGATTCAACCGCATCGGAGGGATTGATGCAAGACGTTAAGCCTTTGAGGTCTGTTTCCAATATTTTTTATAAAATGTTGTTTGTGGCACAGATGGGAATACATCAGACTGCTAAGCATGGCGCCTGCGCACATCGTCCTGTAGGCTACAATTTTATTTAATTTGGATTGATTATGGTTTCTAAGTTTTCTGATTTCTAAGACCATAGAAGTGGTACCGTGACTTGTTTGGCCTTTTCAAGTGAGGTTTTGGCTTTGTTTCATTCATATTTTCTCCTTTTTTGTTGTTTGGCACTTGATTAACTTTCCAAATTGCGTTCCTTGTGGAATTTTTTTTTTTTACTCTTCATTTTTGGAATAATGGAATTTTGAGTGATGCTGTGCAGTTACTTTTAACAGTGGTTGATATTGGGAGTTGTATAAAGTGAATTGCAATTCTGCATGGACTTTTGACAATTTTTTACTGTTGGCACCATACTGTGTATGAGTGATAGGTCACTTTCTTTAAGGGTTAGCCTGGAAGAACAACGGACTCTAAATAAAATCATTGAGTTTATCGACTTAACATCGGATGAAGATGAGATGGGAGGAGGTGCTATCGCATCCGAGTTTCGTAATATTTTGGACATGTTGACGGTACGTCATCAGTGAGTACGTATCCGATGCACCACTGGTTCATCTGTGACAAGTTATTTAGTACCTTGCATGTGCTCCTCAGTGTTACTTTTTCTGTGGTTAAGTTTTACCAGTAGGAGTTGCGAGAACTGTTTCTGCAATGTATAGTCTGTTTAAGTTTTGGTTTTCTCCGGTACACAGGTTCTTTGCAGCGTGTATGACGCAGTTTCTTTTAAGATTCCTCCACTTCGCAATTCTCCTCCCAGAAATAGCGGTTCTGTTGTTGGTCGTTCGGATGGGGGCTCGTTGGTTTTGCAGGGCAACCCTCCTGCAGTGCGGAGTTGTGTCAGCTCAATTCCAGGTTTTTTTTTATTTTCATTTTTAAATAAGTTTCGTTCACATATATGACCGAATTGCCGAAGGAGTCTCACCGAGAACATTTTTTTCTTGCTGTATTTGTAGTGTTCGTCTACTAAACTCTTAGCGCTGTTTTTCAGTTCTTGATAGAACCTCAGCACCTGTTGGCTTACTCCAGTTACAGCCGTCTAGCGAAAGGAATGTAATTATTTTGCTTTCTTCAAGTGCCTACTTTTCGTTACTTTGAGACATTTGGAGACGACGTTCTCAACTAACTGGAAGCGTTCAAGTTTTTTTAGTTGATGACAGTACAGAAAGATGCGCAGCAGATAAGCAGAAGATTCCCCAGTGAACCTTTCCATCCTCCTGCTGCATCGACCTGGTGGACATCTCCATTTGCTTATCCTCACATGTATGCGAGCGGAAATTTGATGTCTCATCCTCCTTATGGCAGTCGAGTTTTTCCGCAAGTTCCACCAGTCCCGTACCAGCTTAACCAGTCTGGGTTTAGCGGCAGCGCACATCAGTTTAATGTGAACAATACATGGAACGCAGGACCTAGGGAAGGACAGTTTACACTCTACCACCAGTGTAAGAGATCTTCAGTTCAAATGAGGTGTCAGATTGATTTTCGTTTACCTTTTATTACTTCCTGTGTTTTAGCTTTAGGAGGACCGGCTTATTGGTATCCTTACGCGCCTAGTGGCTACACGCATTTCCAGCAGCATCCGAATCAGGGTTTTTTTTATTTTTTTTCGTTAGGCTGAAACACACTTGTTCACAAGCAGTTTTTTCAGGCAGCTGTTTGATATTATTTTTTTATATTTTAGAATGTTCTAACTTCAGGTCCCACCGGCGTTTCGAACCAGACTGTTGGGACGCAGTATACTGAAATGGATAATATCTTTCAGGTCTAAACTGGGAACAGTGGGTTAGGATTGGAGATACTGTCAATTTCACTTGAAAAGTACTTCTGATTATCACTAACAATATTTTCGTATTCTTCATTAGATTCTTTTCAGAATGTTTAGATAGAATCGACTTTGCAACAGTTTGTGCTACTTGTCGGCCATTCACTCTACCTCTCTGATTTTTCTCAGGCGCTTGTACAGTTATATTTTTCGCACCTTGTCTTAGCTGTGCATTTTTATTTAAGCCATAGTGTATTTGCGTGATTTCTCCTTAACTCTATTGTTGTCATAGATTTTTGATTGAAAGCTATATTTTTTTAAAAACTAATTATATGATCAAAGTACTTTGTCAGAGTTTCATGTTTTATACGTCTATGGTCAGCCAAGTTTTTACAGAGTCATGTTCAGGGTCTTTTACGTCTCCTGGTCGTATGAATGCGCTTACTTGCTGATCAGGTTGCGCTCTTGAGAGTTAAAGGCCTGTTTCTGGATAAGCTGGGGAGTATCGAGCTGTTTTTTAGTGCAGGAGTTGCTTTGTGGAGGCGGAATAGTAGTTCCTGAATTGGCATACTTATTTAAGTCAGCTTTGCCAACGAATTATTGTAACTATGCGGTGATAAATAATAATGGCAGTAAAACTTCCTTCTAACATCGCCGAAGATTTCTAGCT